CCAGCTAGAGAGTCACCATTGCCTGCTTTGGGGTAAATTCCTCACCATTTCAGTATCTGCTCTTTTTGTTGTCGTTGTTGTTTAACTTGGCTTTAATGCAGGTGACCAGAAACTGAACATTTTTTTTTCTTTTCATTTTGGGTGGCATTATGTGAGTGAGCAGGAATTAAATTTTCAGGGGGATGTTTTGGAGATCTTAAGCTTTTTAGTTACGTTACTGTAAGTCTGGCTGGTGGCTTGTGAACTCCTTTGTTTCCCTCTGAAAATCCATAGCAAATTTTGTTTCCATTCAGCAATTTCCTGCAGAATTTCAAATTGAGCAGTTTCTGGGAGCTGCTAAAAGGGTGGTGGTGGTGATGGTGGTTCAAAAGCTGTGGGAGATTTTACCCAGCTCTGTTTTAATGTAACCTTTCTTCTTTGTTTTGGTAGTTGGGCAAATAAAGATGAAGTATGGAAAAACATGCTCAGTAAGGAACAGAGATATACAAGGGATAAGTTATATATGGAAAAGCATCCACTCTTGGAACCTAAAATGCGAGTAATTCTCCTAGATTGGCTAATGGAGGTGAGATGTTGTTTTGCTCATGTTCGAAACAAGCATTCATACAAGACTGATATAATTGTCTGTCTAGGAATATTTTCAAACTGTATTATTCACACATTATAGTTTTATCTGTGGGGCCTGATATCTTCTTTTGTTCCCCTTACTTTGAAAGGTGCATCTAATGTAGGGGTCCCCAAACTCTTCAGCTTATCAACCCCTTCATGAAGTTTCAGTTTGTTCACCCCCCCATTTATTATATGAAAATAATTTAATGAATACTACTTTAATCAATAGTACTACGAAGAAAAATAATAATAATCATAATAGAGACAACTCAAGGCCACTCTCGCTGGCGGCTGACCATCCAACGCTGGGTAACGTGTCATGTCGCTAGTTACCCCGCCTTCAGGACTTGGGACTGGCATGGAGCTCTACAGAGACCCCAAAATATTAATTGACTCCAATCAACCTTCCATCATTTATCAACTACGTAGTGACCCCCAGACATTTACTGATCCCTTTTTGACCCCCAGACATTTATTGATCCCTTGGATATCCCATTGATTCTTGGGGGCTGATACTGACCACTTTGGAGAACCCTGATCTAATGGTTTGGTGCAAAAGGAAATAAAAAGCTGGAGTAACATTTTTGATGGTCTTACTGCCATTGCCAAAAAAAAAAAAAGAGGGTTATTGCTACTCCAGAGAACAAATCTATGCTCCACTCCACTTTTGGCTCTTGTCAGCTACTTTGTGGCTGGGAGAGAGGGGTGGGAAACACCTTACTGCCATGTGCTGATAGAGTCCACATGGATGTCTCTTATACATGAAAAGAATTGTTGTAATACAGATAGGTAGTCCTTGCTTACTGACTGCCTCGTTTAGCTACTGTTCAAAATTATGACAGTGTCAAAAATATCCCAGCTTTGCAACCAATCCTCGCCTTGACGACCATCGCAGCATCCCGGAGTCACATGATTGCCATTTGCCTGCTTCCCAACCAGCTTGTGACAAGCAGAGTTAATGGAGAAAGACAGAAGTAAAATCACAAGTCGCGGTCATGTGATGTTTTGCTTAGCAGCTGCGGTGCTTAGCAACAGTTGCGGGTCCCAATTGTGGTCGCTAAGCGAGGACTACCTGTATTTCTTTAGTTAACCATGAAAGAATATCAGCAAGCCACTGAAAAGTTTTACTACAAGGAATAAATAGCTGTTGGACTGCAAGAATGCATTTGTGTTATAGATAAGGCAAATGTAGATCTAATTTGTTTTCTTAATATGCATTCCTGTGAATTTCTAACAATTGCAGAGTGATACTGATATAAAGGAGTATTGTTCCTTTATATGTTGTAGGTTTGTGAGGTCCACAGACTTCACAGAGAGACATTTTATTTAGCTCAAGATTTCTTCGATCGATTCATGGCAACACAACAGAACATTGTAAAGACGCTTCTCCAGCTGATTGGGATATCATCTTTATTCATAGCTGCTAAACTGGAGGTAAAAAAGTCTTGCTGATGTTACAGAGCAGCGTTTTTCAAACTTACAACTTTAAGGTGCGTGGATTTCAACTCCCAGCATGCTGGCTGGGGAATTCTAGGGAGTTGAAGTCCACACATCTTAAAGTAGTAAGTTTGAAAAACACTGTTCTAGAGAGTGCTTCTCACTGACCCTCCTGGAGTGGACTTGCTTCCAAGGAGAAGAAAAGGTGGAAAATACATAGTGTATATCTAGATTACTACTTGATGGTCATGTTTCTGTAACTGTGTTGAAATGCCCTTTGCAATCTAATAAACTATTGGATTCCTCTTAGATTTTCTTGATACGCATAACAACAGAAAATATTTTATTAAATCTGCCTTTTTAGAAGAGAGGCTTGTATAAGTCAGGTGCTGCTGTGCACTGGTGACATTCACATTTTTTTGGTTCATTGTGTATTGAAACCAGACCAAACCACTGACTTTGCTACAAGTTCTTTTGGTGACCATTGTTTCTTCTTTTCCCTTGCCTTTATGCAGCAGATGGTAAGTGGCTGAAAATCCTAGTTTTATAGACGTTTGCAGGCAATCTTGGATGCTGCAAGGCATGTGGTTTGTGAATTATAGTTTGATGGTTTAGTGGGTTGTGTGAACCTAGTCAGTTGTGGTTCATTCAAGGACCATGGCTAAATCTTGGCATCGTGCTGCAGTGCACCTTCCTTTGTGCACCCCAGGCTTTCTGATCCACCTAACATTTTTGGTTTTGGCTAAGTCCCTGTGGTGGTCACTTTGTGAATGGGGAGATCTCTCCCCACGGCTGCCATAATACTGACAGACGGCTCTCAGAATCTGCCCACCAGCCTAAAGTTTGGGGACCTGAAAAGAGGAGGGTCTTCTAGATCCTGTTCCAGATGGATCCAGTTTAGATGTGGCTTGCATGGTTTAGACATCAGCTGCATCAGCTAAGCTGGGAATGAACATGTGTGCTATTTTTAATGTCATACATCAGCATATGTGGATGAGGAAACTGAGGGAAAAGAGAAGTGCCGATTTGGTTTGTTTGCTTGTTTAACAAAAAGTGACATAGCTTGGCTGCCTTAAGACATTTTTGTGTATAATTGCTGACGACCTGTGAAATATAAAGCTGCTATTCCATTATTTGGAGTCATAGTTGGCTTTAATTGAGGAGAGCTCAGAAGAAGTCCCCTTTAGGTCAAAGCAACTTCATTATCCAAAATATAGACCCTTATATCTATCAATGTGTATAACTCCCTGGGTTTACCATTTTGCCATCTTTTCAGACAACAGAGTAGGCTAGCATATTGATTCTGTTCTCCGTGTTTCAGGAGATCTACCCGCCAAAGCTGCATCAGTTTGCCTACGTTACTGATGGTGCTTGCACAGAAGAAGAAATTATTAGCATGGAACTTATTATTATGAAGGTTGGTATAACTCTGTGTGCTCTTTTGAATGAACTGAAGAAAGGCAACTATACAAAGATGATGGCTTCTTTCTAAAAGTTTTCTTCTGTACACAGAGTGAGAAAATTCACTCTTACTCCAAGGAGTTAATGATTGCTTTTCGGGCAGGGTTCTGTCCCTTCTCTAGTAGCTCTTTTAGTTTTTATACTGATTATGGAGACAGGGAATTTTCTTTTTCCTAGATCTGCACAGAAAGAGCAGGGTTGGGGAGGAGAAGCCATTGGCCAGCAGTTCCCCATCCCAGCTCTTAACCTACTTAGCAGCTAAACCTACTTAATTATGACTAGTGAAAGCCATTAACTGTAGCAGCCCAAAACATATAGATTAACCAATGCTGTGTGAATGTCAGTCTTTTCAAGGCATAAGTACAGGATGAATCACACAAAATTCAGTACACTATTGCTGGGAATAAATGCTACTTGTGTCTTCTAAAACTCTAGAATCTGTAAGCTTGCTAAATGTTATTCTACCCTTCCTCCAAGAACCTCAAGTTAATAGTAAAAAATGCTGTTTTCTCCCTTCCCAGAAGCCCTTTCATTATTGGAATCACCCTTTGAGAAGGTATTTTAAGAGTTTGGCCTAAATCAAAATAATCCAGTGAAATACAGAGCTGAATGAATATTTGAACTAGATTCTTCCTTATCCTAGACCATGACTTTATTCACTACAGCATATTGTCTCTCCAGTCACATTTATAAATGGGTATAAAACACATATCACAGCTGGCAGTAGCACCTAGGGTGACCCAGGCTGATCTTGAATAAAGCTGGGAAGAGTAGGATCTGAACAATAAACAGAAGGGAGGCAACTACCAGGAAATGTCATGGTTGTAGATTAGAATGGGAAGTTTAAGAAGATCCCACAAGAAGGCAGTGGCAGACTCCATCCACGCTGTTAACAAGAAGATGGTCAAGCTTGGCTTAATGGAGTCTTTAACTTATCTTAAATAATTGGCATGATTGCCCTTGCCGATGTATCTCCAGTCTCCACCTTTATATAAATGCACACTCCGCTTCAAAGTAATGTCATCTTTTGCCCTGATTTCAAGAGTCAGATGTAAGTAAGTAAGCTTTATGGTCATTGTACTTCTCGTACAACGAAATTAAATGCCACCCCAGTGCAGCTTTAAAAATATAAAAACCATAGAACACATAAAACACACCTTCACATTCCATTCACTTTCTGCAGCTGAGGTCAAGAAATGAATATGCCTGCTTTCCAGTAGACATTCCATCAAGATGTGGAATCAGGGAATGCCCAACTGCACATTCTAAGGTGTATAGAGATGTACAGATGGGTGAGTGGGCTCTTCAGGTGCCCAATAGTAGTATATTCAATCTCCATGAAAGAGTGTTTTAGTCTTGCTATAATTGGTCCCTTTGCAGCTTTATATAGGTTGTCTGTTCTTAACTCCACTTCAGTTTTCCTTGTGAAGAAAGGCAGTGGGTCCAGTTTGTCTCCTGACATACCTGTTCTTCTTCCAGGCGCTCAACTGGAACCTGAGTCCACTGACAATTGTGTCCTGGCTAAATATATACATGCAGGTTGCGTATCTAAGTGAGATCTGTGAGATGCTGCTGCCACAATATTCTCAAGAGATATTTGTGCAAGTAGCAGAGGTAACGCTAGAATCTACTGCAAAATGTTTTCTCTCTCAGACTGAAAATGTTCCTCTGTTAGCTTACTTTCTTCTTTTGGCAGCTTTTGGATCTCTGTGTACTTGATGTTGGCTGTTTGGAATATACGTACGGTGTCCTAGCTGCTTCTGCTTTGTATCACTTCTCCTCTTGCGAACTGATGCAGCGGGTTTCAGGTAAGCCTTTATATAAACTCTTATAAACCTAGAACCGAGAAGTAGAAGCATAGAAGACGCAGGAATTTTGTTCTTCATTTTCTAGGGTATGAATTGAGTGACATAGAGAAGTGTGTGAAATGGATGGTCCCCTTTGCGATGGCTATCAAGGAAGTAGGGAGCTCAGTGCTCAAGCACTTCAAAGGAGTCCCTGCCGAAGATTTGCACAATATACAAACGCACATAAACACCTTTGATTTGTTGGTAAGTAACACATAACCAAAAAAGGTTGTCAACCTTGTTAATTATATAGATTGTGGTTTCTTTTTTCAACTTCAGCCTATGCCTGACGGAGAAATAGTGTGCTTTGAGCACACTAAGCCATAATGTAGTTTATGTGGTTTTGCTATTGTATGGCAAGAACTCAGTCATTTTGGTTTTATAAACCATGGTTTATGGGTACATTGTACTAAACCAGCCAGCTGTGGTTTGTTTAATAAATCATAGCTAAATAAACCACTGCTTAGTGCAGTGTGTGAACCTAGAAATGATAATGTTTGTAATATTTGGGCCCTTTAAGATGGACTTTTCAAAACAATTTTTTCACTCTATTTTGCTCCTGGAGGGACAGGCATGATTATAATGTACCTAAGTGTGTTTTATTGAAAGGAATCAATTTAAAATAATGAGAGGAACCTCAACCAGTCTGGCTACTTTTTATAACAGACAAATCCACCGCAGGGTATGTGGCTTCCCTTTGTCGTTGCTTACACTTTCATTTGCATATGTAAAGCAGGACTGCTTCTCAGATCTCATAGCAGTACAATCAATTGGTGCCCTTGAATGAATGGGTGATCATTCCCTTTTGGCATCCTTCTCTTCTAGGACAAAGCTCAAGCAAAACAAGCCATGTTGGCTGAGAAGAACAGGTGTTCTCCTTTGCCCACGGGTGTTCTCACCCCACCCCAGAGTAGTAAGAAACTCTCTCGGACCTTAAAATAGCTAAAGCTATGCACGCTGCTGAACCTCCTGGTTTGCTTCTTTTTAAAACCACAGTCCTTCCATATATTTTTATTTTTACAATTCTGCATTACTGTGTGACGCTGCCGGTGGCTTCAGATTCATTCTAGAATGGAAAAAGTCTTTATGTATTTCTGTGGAAGAAACGGACCAATTATGAAAACCGTTTTTAATGGAATGTTTATCTTTAAATGAACTGTTCAAGTATACCAGGCACCCCAAACGAGGATGTGCTTGGATTGCTGCTAAGGAAAGAGTTATTTGATGTGCCGATTGAAAGAAGAGGTTCTGCTCTCTGCTGCTGTGAAGCACCAACATTGCTCTGGTTGGAGTTAGCCATGGAAGGCAAGCCTCTTCGTCGATTTGAGTTTACAGCCTGATTTTTAAAAAATCCTTTGTAAATGCTCTTATGTGTCTCTAATTTTTAAATAAAGTGCTGTCTTTGGTTATGGCACTTTGTATTAATATGCAAGAACTGCTGTAGGTGGAGGACAGTTATGATTTATGTAACTCCTAGAGTAATCAAAAGAAACACTTAATTATAGTGTTGTCATTGTGGATCTACGTTGTGAAGAGGAGTTTATTGGCTGTGCTTGCACTTTATGACAAATCAAAATGTGGCTGGTTGTGTGAACCCAGTTACTGTAGTTAAACTACTGCTTATGGCTTAGCATCTTCAGTTGCTCGTAACTTATTGAACAGCTCTTAGTTCAAAGTGTTGTGTGGACCCAACCTTTCTCCCACTTGACGGTTAAGGGTTGGTTTGAGGATGGAGATAACTTGAAGCAAGTTTAGTCCCTCACCCAGTCCAGATTTTTGCATTCAATAAATTATGCCTGAAGAGCCATCCAAAGGGGTTACAGGTAGTTCTTGCTTAATGACTGTTCATTTAACGACGGTTCAAAGTTACAGTGGCCTTGGAAAAAGTGCTTTACAACCTGTACTCACACTTATGACCATCACAAACCATCACACCACCCCTGTGGTCACGTGATCGTGATTTGTGACCTTTTTTAGATGGTAATTAAGTGAATCACTGTGGTCGTTAAGTGAATCACCGTGGTCATTAAGTGAAATCTGGCAAAAAAAATGTCCATTGGAGGAAATGTTCATTGGGCAATTTCTTAAAAATCAATTTAATTTAGAATTAGTGTCTTAGGCACCATTTGTTATTTTAAAGCAGCCTTCTCCTCAAACGTGCTAGCTGCAGACGCATGGGGACTATAACAATAAGAATTCCCAGTCAGAGACTCTGCTGGATGAGGCATTCTGGGAGTTGTATTCCCAGCACATCTGGAAGCTGCTAGGTTGGGAAAACTCTTCTCCAGGATTTGTATGTCATGAGGGATGGTCCTGTTTCTTTTGCAAAATGTTCTGCCCTCATGCAATCTAATTTAGGTTTTCTATCAAAAGGATCGTTTTCTAGAAGTGTCTTCTCGATATGCCTTACCTGCAGGATAGATGGATAAACTGGCTGCTAAAGCAATGCTTTTGTTTACTACATAGCAAGCTCTTTATGCTTTCATCTCTGTGTGTGCAAAGACCTTTCATCTGATCCCAGCTCTCTTGAAACCCACGTGTATAGTCAATTATTAGTTGTATAATTTTTGTCTGAAATATTTTAAGAGCACCCCTTCTTTACTATGCTGCACTAGGGCCTTTCTTCTGCCCCAAAGAGACATTTTTGTAGCAGTGCAACTTCCATTCTCTGCTTTTTGTTTCTTGAATATGTCAAGTTAGGAGAATTGTAGGTTTCGGCTTTGTTACTTTTCTGAAGGGAAGCAGCTGGAGTTGCTGATATGCGAAAAAGGAGACGGTGGTAGAACTAAGTATAGCCCTGGCTGAGAATTAAATAGTCACTCGCCGCTGTGAATGCAAGTGAATGGAAGCCAAAGCACTTCCATGTCTTGAAAACTTGAGAAGCAGCTCCAGCTGCTTTCTAGAAGGGTTGCAGAATGATTGTGTCCCAGTTGAGCAACTTTCGGTAATGTCAACAGTTCCACATATTTCAAGTTAAAGTGTTGGTGTTTTAAGACTGTATGCTGTGTTGTTGGATCAGTATATGTTCTGGCAATTTTTAAGGGAGGGGAGGGCAAAGATTATTTTTATAGATTTCATTGCAAAAATTTGAAAGAGAAGTCCTGTACATCCACAAGCCTGCTGTCTTGCCTTGCATAAATACATTTATGCTTATGGGGATCAGTGGTTATCAGCAAGCATTTGTGAGTATTCTTCAGAAGAAATCATCATCATCATCATCATCATCATCATCATCAAAACAATTCAAAAACCTGTATTCAACATAAGCCTCCAAAACGTGAGAAAAATAATTCACCCTTTCCTTTGTTATCTGGTATATCTATAAGATACCTAGCATTTAATTTAAAGATTGCATCTAATGTTACTCTAACAGGTAAGTAACTTCTTAATGAAACAGTGAACGTACAGGCATATCTACTTAGTCCAAACATCTACTTCTGCATGCAGATATACATATATAGAAATGTTAGAAGGGTATCTAGTGCAAATGGTTGGAACAATTCATGGAAGTCCTGGGATTGGTTGGCTATTAGCTTTGATGTCAGTGGGACTGCCTCTGAAGCCATCTGCTGGGAGACTTGTGGGCTTCCTTGTATAGTTGGTTGGCCACTGTGAGAACAGGCTGCTGGACTAGATGGATTGGGGTCCAATCCAGCAAGGCACTGGTTATGTTCTTATGTAATCAAACACATTTCAAGGAGTTTGCTGAAAAAAGGCAAGAGTGCCATTTTGGTGCATGTGGAGTTATTTGCCTTGGGTATGGATGACCCTTGATTTCTCCTCATGCTTGTAATGCAGATTCATTCAGGTTTCTCTTCCTGGTCATGTTACACAGACATCTTTCTGTCCACTAATGAGGTTATGATGAGTTTTACCTGGTGGACTTAATATGGATTCGGTGTCCTTAAACCCTGTTTCTGGACTAAATTAATCCCAAGTAAACCCTTCTCAACAAGTAAAAACTTTGCCAGTTCAACACAAGCAGTTCCTCAGGACTAAATTTCTCAAGTAAAAATTTAATATGCACAGAAATAGTTCCCAAATGGTGGCAGTGACAAAAAGAACAATAAATTTTTAATCTTTCACATAGTGCTGTCGAATTTCCTGCACCCATCTTTAAGATTTGCGAGACTGGTTTTGATTTCTAGGTGCCATTAATAAATGTTTGAAAAGCAATCCCTTTGACCTCTCTCTTAGCTTGTCCTCCTATTGTTGCAATGTATTCATATAGCCCCTATAATTTATGCAGCAATTAACTTTCCAATCTCTTGTTTATAAAAAACATTTTCACTCAAGCTTTTCAGTGGGGGAGGGTGGGTGGAAAGCTTCCAAGCTAACGTACATGGATCTATATTAAAATAATATTTCTTCAGGCTTACAATTTAAGAGCTACATCACAGAAAGAAAAAAAATTGAGGGAGGAGGAATAAAGGAGAATCAGAATTGAGGCTTAGTTACAAGAGGATACTCCCATAATAACTTCTGATATATCTCTGTGAAGTAACAGTGGTCTCCCATTTTGCAGATGAGAATCTAAGGATGAAGACAATAGGGGGATCTTAAAGGCTACACCGAAAAGGTTCTTTTGTAGAAGCAAGACTTAAATTTAGCTCTCTGCTTTAAAATGCCATGTCTTGTCCATTGAAAGAAGTAGTCATATATCCTGTTTGGAAACATCTTTTCAAAGAGAATGGTCTTTTGTTTTTCTTCCCAGGGCTGTCTGTTAACTGCTCTATTTTTTGCTCTCCAGTTGGCAAGGGTAGCATTTGAAAATGAGAGGCTACCAGTAGACTTTTGGAGCAGAGTTGGGGGAACTTTGACTCTTCAGTGTACTTTTTGTGACTGTACATGAATATAGCATGTAATTGTTGTACGCCGCCCAGAGTCACCTTGTGTGAGATGGGCGGCTATATAAATTGGATGGATGGATGGATGGATGGATGGATGGATGGATGGATGGAGACAAATGCCATGGTTCTAATAAGAGGAAAAAAACCTAAACCAGACAGCATTTTCCAACATTTACTATATTTATTCAGGCATTCATATTCTACTTTCAGGCAAAGAGAAGCTAGGATCCCTTCAACAGAGGATTATCATTCCGGTTTTTTGTGAAGCTAATAAACCTTGGGCCAAATGGAAAGCTATTTTTGGAGGCTTTCCAATTTAATCATGGCTCATAGGAAAGGAAGAGCAATGAGGCTACAAAAACTGCATAATGCTATTTAGTTGCCTTTCCTTGCAACTCTGCAGAAGGAAGAAGGAGGAATCTAGTTCTTTTTTCTTGATCTTTTCACTGCTTCAATACTGAAAGACAACAGCTGAACAGAAAGCAATTGCAGAAATGTTTCCAGTAATCAGCTGGTGGCATGTCTTCTTCTGGACTTTGGCAATGCCCAGCCATACCAATCCCCAAAGCCAGAAATAACTTTAGACCTATCTTATTCTGTCCAAGGAATAGCTTGGAACTGAGATCCATTTTCTTTATTTTATTTCACCCATTTATATATTGCCAGAATCCAAAGATGACGACTCAGTCTTTTCCAGACTAATTAAAGGACAGCAAAGAAAACTAGAGGCAGCAGAATGAGATTGAATGTATGCTTCATTTGTTACCCGTCTTAAGATTCTGATTCTCTCTGCCCCGCTCCCCCCCGAAAGCTAGCACAGACTTTAGCTTCTTGCCATACATTCACAAGGATTTCACTAAAATATTTCTTGTTTTCTCAAGTTTACATCTCCCAGCCTTTCACGGTTGCTATGAGGCAGTCTGCCCGAGAGATGAAAATAAATCTGTGTCATTTTTATTTTTTCCCCTTATGTGTGAAGTTCATTTCCGCTTATTTCTCCCACACATATACGATTATGCTGGCTTTGTAAAATACTTGCATTCTTCTAATGCTCTTTCTGTGAACGAATACATATGCACAAAACTCTGTTCTTGAAAGACCATATGCTCAGGTCTGTCAGCTTAAAATACCCAAGCCAAGTGATGCTTTTATTCCAAGAAACTTCGCCTTTGTCACCATCTATCTTTCAAGGTTAATTAATCTGCCTTAAAATACTTAAAGTGACAGGCAGGGGTGGGATCTTTTAAGTTGTCAAAGTTTGTGGCTGCTAAAGAGATGGGATTTGATGCTTTGCTTTCCTTCCGACTGCAAGACAACACTAACCAATTTGACTTCTATTTTGCTTTATGGTGCTACTGAAAATCAATTTTTAGCTGCACTGATATAAAAACTGGCAGGGTTCAAGGAGTGTGGCAAGCCACGGTTCATTGCGGGCATCGGGCATCTCCCTACCAGCCTTGTTTTGGTGAGGCCAGAAGTCTCCTGGAGTGGTACTTTCGGCTATTTTTGTCTTTTTTGGAGGAATGGAAGATTCAGGGTAAAAATGTGTACTTTAAGAGAAGCATTTTGTCCCTTGACTGCCCCCTCCTATGAAATAGGTCTATCATCACTGACTGCATCCTGAGAAACAAAGTGTAGACCCCAGCCTCAAGAGCCTGGTCCTTCCCAGCTTATTGAATAAACTACAATTGGCTGGTTAGCACAACCCTCTAAGCATTCTCTATGGAGACTCCCCTTCTATGAAGAGTGGTTGACCCGCTCTCTCATGACCTTTCAGAAGTTGAAGTTGATAAAAACCTGGTCTTCCCTGAGAGTCTTTGGCTATTGCTTGTGGAGGCATCAGTCCCAGTGTCAGTGTGCTGCCATTATTACATTATTTTTATTATAGGATTGTCGTATTTTATCATTCATATCGCTCCACTCCTACAGTCCATTAGAAATGGGGATACAGCCTCATCAACTAATATAGCTTGTGAAAGTGTGAACCTAGTCTGTTTCTGGTTGCTTTATTTCTGCAC